TGAGACCCTGTCTCTAAAAATAGCTGGGTGTTGTGGCAGCCACCTGTACTCCAGCTACTTGGGAGCCAGAGGCAAGAGAATCACTTGAGCCCAAGAGTTGGAGGTTGCTGTGAATTATGATGCCTCAGTGCTCACAGAGACTCTGTCTCAAAAAAAAAAAAAAAAAAAAACACCAGGAGACAATTCACAGTACAGACTCTGGACAAATCTCCAAGACAGTTCTCCTCTTCAGTGTCCAGGGAGAAATAGATTCTTTGTAGGAAAAGCAAAATCTTCACATCTTTGGGAAGAAACTGGGATCCGAAAGAAAAAGCACAAAACTAGAGGTGCCCAGGTTTCTCTGCATTCTTTGTTTACACAATTGTCAAAAGAAGATACCACATGCCCTAACTTACATTCTGCGACCAGACTGAGACTTGGCATATTAATCATGGAAAGCTCTGAGAAGATGAAAGTGCTATAGTAACATCAGGTGGCCTGATGTTATTTAACTCTTTGTCAATTAAGCAAAGTTCTTTGGTCCTACTAATATTTGTGGTCCCAACTAATTCCTTCAAGCGGCTTCACGGCCATTCACAAGTGTGTTGTTTAGCTTTACTTCCTTTTCTTTACCAGATTGGGGACATCTCTTCTACTTTCTTCACAAATACAAAAACCAAAACTATCTGGGGCATATTTTCTCTAGGAGTTATCCTTATACCATAGGAGGGCGTATCCTGGTACCTCTATGGAATAAGAATAATTAAGACATTAACATGTGGAATCTTAGATGTCAACTAAGATGCTCAGCAATTTTAGACACTTATTTCTCCAAAGTAACAAGATTGTGGGTGAATCAGCCAGGTAAGTTTGCACAGTTTGTGTGTTGCACAAATACTCCCAACCCCATCTCTACCTCTGCTTGAGGAAAAAGGCCTTCTCTTGTGCCGTTTGATTGCAAAGTTATGTAGTCAAGATACTGTACCTGCCAAAAGTCTTTTTCCAGCTTGTATAAAGGTTCCACACAGGCTACAGTTCTAAGTGTTGTGGGTGGTTATTTAGACTCCTGTGGTGGGGCTGGGCATGAAGCAGTGGCAGTGAGTATGGCTTTTCTTTTCTGTTTGAATCTGGCTCTGTCACCTCTAAGACCATGGGCTCCTCCAGAGGACCTTCTTTCCTCTCTCTTCCTCCTACTTTTTATGTAGTTTCATTCTTCTTTTTCTTCTCTTCCCTCTCTTGTTTCCTCTCATCTTTTCCTGTCCTTTCTTCTCACTCTGGAGTCAGACTGAAGGGTGAGAGCCATCCCATTGATTGCATTGATTGCCCTCCTCACATTGTAGTGATTGGAGTGTAGTGTAGTGATTGCAAGACATCCCTCCAATCCCCTTGGAGTTTCTGCTTATGGTCAAGTCTTGACACAATACAAAGGAGTAGAAGTCTTGCCTCATTGTTTTTATCCTTTTAACATCCTACCAAACCCCTCTTTCTCTCTGGTGGTGAGGGTCTCAAACTCCCAGTGAAGCTAACTTTATCTTGTGGTGGTAATTGGCCAACTTCATTGCCTCAATCAGATGTGTCATCATTTATAAACAAGGTGCTTGGGATACTGTGTTTAGCCATGAAGGAAGAATCTCAGAATTTGGGACAGATCTTCCCCTGTGTAAATTATGGGCAAATTTTTAATAGAAGAATCCCTCAAACATGTGCTTCCTTTGCCTTCTGTATTTTTTTTAGGTATTTTTCACAGATGAGCTTGAACCAAAATTGCCATCCTCCATGCCTGCCTGCACTTCTCCCATTTTTGAACCTGAGATTATAATCTTTCCTCTGGATGGCTCATATCAGGGCTTTCAAACTGACCATCCCAAAAGCTGTAGCAACCATCTTCACAGCCAGGCTCATTCAAAATCTGTCCTCGGAAGTCTACCATCCACCCTTCCTTCAGCAGAACTTCCCATGCTCCCCACTCAGTACTCCAAACACAAGAAGAGTAAAGTGTTGGGGTATGGTGCAGAAGAGCAACATCTGGAAGGTGCCACCCTCAGCAAGAGGTTTTAAAGTTACCATTTCTAATCCTACTTTTGGCAATTTTGCATCATACTCTATGATACGTTCATTTTTGTTTTGAAATAAAAATCACATTTCCCTGAATCTTTAAATAAAATTGATCTTGCAGAACAGTGTTTATCCTGTGGTTTCAGGAACCCTCAGGGACCCAGGCTGAGAAGCAAGGGTCCTTGATGAAATTCACAATTCTTTGCATATCATTCAAGGGTCATCGGGATGTGTGCCTCTTCCTCTCTGCAGCCCCAGCCTCCAGCCAGCTTCCTACAGTTCAGTCACACTAAGCACCTTGCAATTCTGTAACCACCATCCTAATCCCTGGCTCAGGGTATTTCCTCTAACTAGATTGCACCCCTCCCACATTTATCTACCTGTCTTCTAGACCCAACTCAGAGACCAGCTTGCCCTCTGATGCTCTCCACAGAAAGCCCCAACAGGCCAGTTACCTTCTCCCGCTTCATGCCACTGAAGCCCTCTTGCCGCTAAAGCCCACACCTGTCCCACAACACTGCATTGGAGAGTGACTTGCTGTCCAGCTGTTCTTCCCCACTGGGCTGAAAATTTCTTTTGGCAATGTCTTATTGGTCTTGGCATTCCCAGGACTGGCACATGGTGAGATGGGAGTGGATATGGCTGAGACACTTCACCCTGGTGCTCACCAGAGCTGACTTGGTGGATCTGAATGAACAAGGGCTGTCTTTTCCCTCTCTCATACTCCTTATCTATCCCTGCCATGCCCTCTCTCGAACAGGACAGTCCCAGGTGGACAAGGACACCCCTGTCACAGGTGTGCCAGTGGCCTCCCCCAATGAACCCTCCAAACAAGCTCTCAAGACCTGACACACCATACGTGCTCCATGAATATATGCTAAATTTTTGAATGAACCAACAGTTGGCACCATTGTTGTCTGACTTAGTTGTATTATATTTTTTTCAGTCTTATCTTCCAAAGAGTCCTGATATCTGAATCCTCATGATCTAACAAAATATAAACACTTACTAAGCATTCAATGAATGCATAATAAATAAATGAAGACATGAACTAATCTTTTCACGTATATTTTCATGTTTCTAAAAGAAATACATGTACCCATTTTAACTTAACACCACAATACCTGCTGTATTGGCAGCTAACTAAGGAACCAGCTTGTCACTAGAAATGGACTCTTGACAAATGGATGATGATTGAAATTTCTTTCTGAAATGTGTGGTCACATTTCAGCAGGTGACTAGCATGATTTTTTAAGATTTTAGGCTTGAGTGCAGTGGCTCACGCCTGTAATCCCAGCACTGTGGGAGGCTGAGGAGGGAGAACTGCTTGAGCTTAGGAGTTGGAAACTTGCCTGAGTGAGAGTGAGACCCCGACTTCTAAAAAAATGGAATAACCCAGCTGGGTGCCATGGCAAGCACCTGTAATCCCAGCGGCTTCAGAGGCTGAGGCAGTGGGATGCCCACAGCCTGAGTCTGAGGCTGCAGTGAGCCAGGATGCCATTGCCCAGAGGGTAGGACTCTGTCTCAACAACAACAAAAAATTTAGGCTTGTGTTTTAAAATTTCAACCTTCTTTTGAGTAACTTGGATCTCTACCATGGCTAATATAATTAAATGGGCCAAGCCATTGTCCTAAAAGTAAGGGCTACCTCTGTTCCTGAGTATAAGTGCTCTGTAAAGGTGACATTAGTGCATGCTAAGCACTAATGTCAAGCATGTTGATAGAGCTAAGTGAAGGTGCTGGGTGCTCCACCAAGGTCACAGGGAATACTCAAAGATGCTTTTGGTCAACATTTGTTCATTCTTCTCCAGTGCTTAATGTACAATATAAGATATGATACTTCTGGAATTTCTGAACAATACCCAATTTTAGTTGAGATCAATGATGCCCTTTCCTTGATCACCATTAAGTTACAGCTTTATTGCCAGGGACTAATAAGATGCACTTTGGGGGCAGGAATAAGTAGATAAACTTTAGGCTGGGAAGGATTTTTGTCTCTCCCAGATGCTAAAGCAGTGTTCTCCATTTTTCATTTTTTGTTGCCCACTTCTACCAGTAAAATCTTTCTGATTGACATCCCTAATTATTTATTTATAAATTATGTTAGTGTATCTATGCTTTTATAAAATTCATCAAAATGGAAATTTAAAAAAGTAATATAAAATGAACAGAGGTAGGGCACAGTGTGGCTCATGCCTATAATCCCAGCACTCTGGGAGGCTGAGATAGGTGGATCACCTGAGGTCAGGAGTTTGGGACCAGCCTGAGCAAATGCAAGACCTTATCTCTACTAAAAACAGAAAAACTAGCCAGGCATTGTGGCAGGTGCCTGTAGTCCTAGCTACTCAGGAGGCTGAGGCAAGAGGATTGCTTGAGCCCAAGAGTTTGTGCTTGCTGTGAGCTACAACGCCAGCGCAGCACTCTACCCAGGGTGTCAGAGTCTTACTCTATCTCAAAATAAATAAATAAAATAAAATGAGTAGAAATAGAAATTCTCATATTTTCTTCTCTCATTCCAATAAACTATCTTATAACTATCCCACTGACTAAACAGACTCACAACTTGCTTCCAGCAGGCTTGGTGAGAAGGTTCCTTAATGTCAGGTGACTAAGTACATGTGGTCCCAACTCACCCATTGTCTCACTCTCTTCCATTAATTGTATCAAAAGCAATTGGCTTTACTTGGGAGAAAAAAATGATAATTCAACAATTGAATGATGCTGTAAAAGGCTTTATTTGCTGTGGAACAAGCTAAATGCTATATTTCATTTCAAATAAAAAGTGCTAGACTGCTGATTATACTGTAGGATAAAGAAAAAGGCAATAAAGCTGCAATGTGTCTCCGAAGCGTGTCAAATGGTGTGGTAAAGAAAAGAAGGGCTTTATCTCTCAGGGCCATAAACAGGGAACAACTCAATTTCCCATTCCAGGAACCCCACAGCCATCAAGGCACTCTATAGAGCACTCAGGACTTGTGATAGTAGCAAGTGCTACAGTGGCAGTCCGTGTGGTTCTCCACCTTGGCATTGCCCATTACTGTGGCCTAATGGGGAGGAAAAAATAAATAGATTAGATAGATAAAATTCAAAAATGTTAAACAAAATTGCCCATAGTCTGCTGAACTAAATGTATGCATGCTACATTTGCACAGTCTCCCATTCCCAGGGAATCTTTTTTACTCTAAAAGGCTAGGTCTGCCTGTGTAAGGATGCTGTACTTTCTCCCGACCTGCCCTGTCACCTCTACCCTCTTCTCTTCATTCTGAGTACATCCGGCCTATACCCATAAGGGAGCTGACTCTTAACCAAAAGGTACAAATGCAGCGCCTAACTGTACAAATGCCCCAAAACAGAATAGCTTTAGACAACTTCAGCATTAAGCCCATGGGTGTACTCTGTGGACGCTTCCCTGACTGGGCTGAAAGCTTCTGGGACCCTTCAAGTTCTCACCTTGGTAAATGCTTTGGCCACACAGCATGTAGCCTCAGAGGTGATGTTTTTTGGAACCAACATTGTTTTCTTGGACCTTGCCGGTGTGGGGTATGCTCTGGAGAAGCAGCAGCCCATGCACTGGTAAACTGGGGCACCCAACCTGGAGAAGTATTTGTTTTCCTTTAACTTGCATTCTGGGCAACCTATCAGAAAAAAAAAAAAGACAAAGAGTAAAATAATCCAAAAATGGTTCGAAAATAAAGTATGAATTTTTCTTTTTTATGAGATGGTAAACATATTTTTTCAAAGGAAAATGAAAGGGAGACAAATAAAGACTTTCTAGCTATATATTAATCCTCATATGTATATAATATCAATTTGCACTGATTACAGGTTTTTGGGAAACCTGGGGGAAAAATTTTTACAGACATGCATAGGAGATCTCTGTCATGGCATTTTCTCTTTCCTCTATCCCAGCACCCCACTGCTAACTGTGCCTAGAGGAACACAAGAATTGACAGATGAAAACATCATGTTCATCTCAGAAGAAAATTTTGCCTAGAGTCAAAATATTTTCCCCTTAGACCCTGAAGTTGTTTTTCTCCCTACAGAAACCCCAAAAAACATGTCAGAATTAAGAAAGCTTGTTGAGTGGAAAGAACCTGACGTTAGATCAGGTATCTGCACTTGGGACTAGGGGTTAAAATATTACCACTTATCTAAAGAAAACCATAGCCAGTAGTAACTCACAACTTCAAAGCAGATAGAATTTTATCAGCCACTACATGAGATATTTCAAATGATACAGCAAAACGAATTTACTGTGTGAAGTGGTTTTGTTTTCTTCACATGTTAACTGATGTGAAAATTCACCTCAAAAGGCAATGTTAAAATCTTCTCAAATCTTCTGGGAGACATGAAAGAAATGGAGCTAACTGAGTAAGGAGAATAAAGAATAATAAGGCATCTACTTCAGAAGAAAATGTTCAGGCTGCTGTGTATATGGATATGTAAGATATTATTTTCACTGTACATTTTCTGAACCTAACTTAGTTTTACATTTACAATCTCCAAGTATCTAGATCTGAATCCAACAGAAAAAATTTATCACATTTGAAAAGAAGGTGGAAATGTAATTAATGGCGTTACTGATGTGCATCTAGAAATGTGTGTTGTCCTTAAATACTCTAATCACAAGCCCAGGCACATACCCTGCACTGTAAACTCTCCATCAGGAAAGGAGTGGAGGCCATACAGAAGCACAGACAGCAGGGCCAGAGTTACAGCTGCACAATTCCTGTAGTGATCCATGGCTCTCCTGCAGAACAGACACAGAGAAAACAATGTTAACCTAAGATCGGCTTACCAGTCATAACAACTAGCTGTTTGAACATTGCCTTTAGTGTCCTGGCCCCTCTACTTCAGCTCCCAATATGCTCTAAATAGAAAACCAAGTTCTCCTCAGGAAAAATATAGGGAACTGAATCTTCCACATTTCTCGTGTAAACCAGTATGCGAGATATCTTTTCTGGTTTTTTTTTTTGAGACAGAGTCTCTCTATGTTGCCCTCGGTAGAGTGCTATGGCATCACAGCTCACAGCAACCTCAAACCCATGGGCTTAAGCAATTGTCTTGCCTAAGTCTCTCAAGTAGCTGAGTCTACAGGTGCCCACCACAATGCCTGGCTATTTTTTAGAAACAGGGTCTCAGCTGGGTGTGGTGGCCCACGCCTGTAATCCCAGCATTCTGGGAAGCTGAGGAGGGTGAATTGCCTGAGTTCACAAGTTCAAGACCAGCCTGAGGAAGAGCGAGACACCAGTCCCTAAAAATAGCCAGACTTGTAGTAGACACCTGTAGTTCCAGCCACTCAGGAGGCTGAGGCAAGAGAATCTCTGGAGCCAAAAGATTTTGAGGTTGCTGTGAGCTATGCCCCCGTAGCCCTCTCTTTACCAGAGGTGACAAGATGAGACTGCCTCAAAAAAAAAAAAAAAAAAAAGAGAGAGATAAACAGGGTCTCACTCTTGTTCAGGCTGGTCTTGAACTTGTGAGCTCAAGTAGTCCACCTGCCTTAGCCTCCCAGAGTGCTGGGTTTACAGGTGTAAGCCACCACACTTGGCCAATTCCAAGCATTTCTGTCTCGTGTCTGTCATTAGATGCAAGTGTAAGTAATCATGGATTGTATTTATCTTCATGCATAATTAACAGTGAGTAAATATTGTTCTAAATCACTGGTTCTCAGTGTGTAATTCAGGGACCCCAAACAATTTTAGCAGGTCTGTGAAGTCACACTGATATTCACAATAATGTTAAAATGGTTTTGGGAGGCCAAGTGTGTGGTTCATGCCTATAATCCCAGCACTCTGGGAGGCTGAGGCAGGTGGATCACCTAAGCTCAGAGGTTCCAGACCAGCCTGAGGTATAAGAAGACCCTGTCTCTAAAAATAGCCGGGCATTGTGGTGGGCACCTGTAGCCCCAGCTACTCTGAAGGCCGAGGCAAGAGAATCTCTTGAGCCCAGGAGTTTGAGGTTGCTGTGAGCTATGATGCCACATTTTGTTACCCTCTATCCAGGGTAACAAAGTGAGACTCTGTCTCTAAATAAATAATAAATAAATAAATAATTTTTTGCCTCTTATTCCTTTTGAGTGTTCAGAGAAATTTTCTAGAGGCCAAATGGCATGTGGTATCTCAGCAGATCAAACAAAGGAACACATGAGAATCTACTGTGTTTTATTAGGCCAGACATTAAAAGTTTGAAAAGTTAGTAAAGCAATGCCACTCTTCTTACTAACATTTTGTTTGTTTGTTTCGGAAATTGTCATTTTTAAAAAATAAATACATGTTATGTGTGTTAACATGATGTTTTTTTTAATGAGTAAATATTTTAAAACTTTTCCTAAGACAATTTCTAAACCGTTGTGTTTATAGATATAACCTCATAAGTAAAAGCTCTGAAGACTCTTCAGTAATTTCTAGGGGTGTAAATGGGTTCTGAGACCAAAAATCTTGAGAATCACTGCCCTAAGTGATATACAAAGCAGTAAGGAAAGTCTCAGAATTAAAATTGGTTTCCTTTTTAAGCTAGTGTCATTTCTGTGTTTTAAGATTGCAGCTCATATATTAGGGAAATTCACCCGTTGTGCAACGAATATTTATACCAGAACTAATTCAGGGAGATACGTTTATAATAAGATTGCAAAATGTGAAAGCACAAAGTCAGTGCACATTTTAGAATTTGCTTTATAATAAAGTGAAAAGAAGATTTAAAAAGTGAAACCAAAGTCACCCTTGCTATAGCTTACAATAACAAAAACTATTATCTTTATGTAATATAAAGAAAATAAACATCTTTATTTTTAAAAGCGATGAAATTAACCAAGCAGAAAAGTGTTTGTTAAAGCATTTTAATAGGTCTTTTTATCATCCTAATCATTCAGGTTTTTCTGTTTTAGAATTTAGAAGAAAAAAATAAAGAATCAAGGCAAAAAAAAAAAAAATACATTCACCTGAGATTCATACTATTTTGTGAAAATGCTCACTCTAAGGCTGGATTTATTAATCTCTGCCTCTTTTGGTATTCTAAGTGAGACATATTTTCCAAACATCATAGGACCCTGTACTTTCAACTCCAGACCAATGAGTCCAGGAAAATATGTCTTTTCTCACTTTGGCTCATAAGGCCTTCACCTACCTGAGTCTGTTAAGGAGCTGCCCAACCAGCAGCTTTGCATAAAGAATTCACACAACCCTGTAGCCAGAATAAATAACTCTGTCCACTATATCCCCTTATCACTTGGTTCATCATTCTCAAATGATGTTCCACAGTCTCACCAGTTATGCAGATGTTACCTCTCTGTCCACAGGAAAGCCCCTGAAAGGCAGAAACCACGTCCTCTAGTCCACCACCGCCCTACACAAGGCCTTGTAAAAAACAAATAGCCAATACAACTATGATGAATTAGGACTTTAGGACAGTAATAATAGTATCACTCAAAAGTTGCTAACATGCAATTGTCATTCACACTGAGAAACTAGATAACCCTTGAAAGACCACTTAGAATAAAAATGTCCAGTAATAATATATTTTCAGATAAATTATTAAAGACAGTGTGTTCTCACTTAGCAGTATAATTTGGGGCTGGCTAATGCCTGAATCTATATTACTTATGTCACAGGAAGGAGCCATTTTAGACTAAGATATAAAAGTCTTAAGAATTCAAAAGCAACCATTCATAAAAAGCATGCATAACAACAGCTCCAGGGTTTAAAGTAGGGACCTCTTAGTTTATATTAAACTATATATGTGTACAAATGTAGATTCCTGAAATAATGTGATTCTGTAGGAAGAGATAGCCTTCTTGAAAGTGCAAAAGAATTTTATTACCATAATAAACCATTATTTAACATATGTTTGCACAATTTTGTTATATTATATATATTTAGTAATTTATGAAATAAGGAAATATAAGTGCCCTACAAGCCATGTGTTACAGGCCAGCACATATTTTGACACACCAAGCGCCACAGGTGCACACACGTCTCCATTTATACTGTTAAAAATTGTTCAGGAGTTACAAGTGATTGAAACAATGTGACTTCCTGCCCTTTGCTTACAAATATGTTGCCATTGCTCCCCCTGACAGGGAGCAGTGAGCTTTGTGGTTTTTCTAATGGTGATGACAGCTGGAGTAACTCATCTGCCCTCTATACACCAGGAAGCCCAGTGACTCATAGCACATTTTTTGAGATGACTGAGTGGAATCAGAAGTGTAACTGACTTTTGGAGGGTTAACCTAAGGCTCTCCTGCCTTAGATCTAACCCAGCTAACTACCAAGAAAAGGAAGAGCAGGCTGTCTCCAGTGAATGGTAACAATGCAAAGATCACAGAGAAGGCAGAGCCTGGGATTTTTCCCCACATCACCTGGCACAGGACAGGTGTTCCATAATTGTTTATTGGACAGAGGATAGGACTATGAGTGTAGCATCTTGACAGGTCCCAAGAAGACAGCAATTGTTTACTTTTAATGAAAGATTTAAAGGTGGAAAGTCTCAAAGGAAAGCAGAATGTTTAGATTCCACCCCACCAGCTTTCTCCATCAGTCATCTGAGCTCTACCTTCTAGCCAGTGACCACCTCTGTCCCCAGAGGCATGGCTCCAGAGAGCTGAGGGTCTGTGATCAGGAAACACAGCTTGGAGTAAGCCTGCTTACTGATTTTCTTTTCTCGTGTGCACTAGTTCCAGCAACTAAATTTTATCTCATTACTTAGTCTGAACCCCAAGTCAGCAGCGAGTCTTTCATGATCCGTGCTTTGCACACCCAGTTTCAATAACTCTCCAGATTCTCATTTCTTTCTGACAGATTCTCAAATATTGTCCCTAAGAACTAATGTGACTTTGAGACCTATGAACACATTCATTGATAGTTTCTCCCAAGATGGCAACAAGAAATGGCTGAGAGATTGGAGGAAAGGGGAGAGACTGGTTAATATCCCCACAGTCTGCCTCATTTATTCTTTGACACAGATAATTAATATTTATCTTATAAAAATATGAAGTTCAGATAATTTTACAGGAGGTCAAATGTTGTAAGGTGAAAGATTTAAGTTCCAAATTCAATGTTCGGAAGACTTAACGACTTTGCATAAGAACTTGTATATTCCAGGCACTGTGCCAAGTATGGTGACACAAACAGGAGTAAGTTTCCTGCCATCTCAGGAACTCAGAGCACAATCAGCTGTGACTATGAGTTGAAGTAATAACAGCTCTCACAAAAGTATTTGTGAGACATTGAGATATGTGGTAGACTGGGAACCAGAAAATAGAGGAAAAACTAATGAGGATAAAGAATATGTACTTAGAAAAAGAAATGCAAGAGCAGTGGTGGTATACTTTACTGTTTGGGAGTGCATGCAGGAGCTTCACATATCCAGTGGTCCACATGAGCTTCCCTACAGATAGAAATGGCAAACAGAAGATGCCCCAAGTGTCCCAGCACCCGGAGCAAGGCTAAGCAATGTCACATCATTTGGTGCCAGTGTTTAAGACAGATTTCTATTTACTAATCATGTATTTTGTGCTTCACAAATTTTTAAAAGGGAGACAACTTGTTTTCCAAATGAAGTGGAGAGAAAAGAAATTAAAAGGGGGGCACAGACAGGAGAAGTGTGAAGCATGGTTTGTAAAGCCCCACAAAATGGGGGTTTCCATGAAGAAGAACAGAACAAGGGCTGACCTTTAAAATATTTATTTTAAAAATAAATGAAAAGAAGAGGCAATATTTAGAAGAAAGTTAAAGGGCTTATAGAATTAT